TTCTCAATTATAAAGCTAGTTATGGAATCACAGGAAGCGTCTTCTCAATTATATAGCCAGTTATGGAATTACTGGAAGCGTCTTCTCAATTATAAAGCCAGTTATGGAATTACTGGAAGCGTCTTCTCAATTATAAAGCCAGTTATGGAATTACTGGAAGCGTCTTCTCAATTATAAAGCCAGTTATGGAATCACTGGAAGCGTTTTCTCAATTATAAAGCCAGTTATGGAATTACTGGAAGCGTCTTCTCAATTATAAAGCCAGTTATGGAATTACTGGAAGCGTCTTCTCAATTATATAGCCAGTTATAGAATCACTGGAAGCGTCTTCTCAATTATAAAGCCAGTTATGGAATCACTGGAAGGGTCTTCTCAATTATGAAGTTCTTCCTTACGGTTAGGTCCCTGAAAGTAGTTATTAACGGCCAATCCTCCGAGACCCTGGTTGTTAACGCAGGCGTTCCCGAAGCATTACTTCTGTTTTTGTTTTACATAAATGATCTGCCTAAGTATATGCTCAAATCATTTGTAAAGATCTATGCCAATGATACAACGATATATGGGTGAACATTTAAAACTTGATCATCATACATTGGTAGCTGATCTTTCAACCGACCTAGAAATAACTTCTCAGTGGGGGAAAGCTGACTGGTTACGTTCAATGCCGCGAAAACCAAACTAGTGACATTCCATCATCGCCGAACTACCGCCAGTCTCGGTGAATGAATGTCTCTTCGGTAAGGCTCCGTGCTTTGAGAGGATATTGCCTTTAAAGTCACACCTGAACTCAAGTAGAATTCGTACATACGATTCATCGGAAATTATGCAGGGAAAATGGTTGGCTCCCTGCACCGATCCAGTAAGTACCCGACTCCGCATTTTATCGTCTGCATTTACAAGAGCCAGATCAGGCCTTAAATGGAGTATTGTTGTCATATTTAGGCGAGAGATGCCTGACTCAATAATGTCCAAAAGCATCTCTGTGTTCTTGTGGGTAACAAATTATTTTCCACCCTTTAACCTTTCTATTACATACGCGGTGTGGTAAATCTCTTGTTGCTTCATCGCTACTTCCATGGAAAGTACTCGGACGAACTACGTTCCTTGGTTCCATTAGTTGTAATATTCACGTCTAGGAACCGCCATGTCACTCAGACTGTAGCAATCCACCCACATTCTATCTGTGTTCCATTGGTAAGAAGTAAGTTCCACTTGAAGAGCTTCGTCCCGCGAACCACTTTTCTGTGGAACCAGCTACAAGAGGATGTTTCCTCAATAACTACAATCCTGTTCAAGTCTAGGGTTAACCGTTATCTTCCTCTGCCTATACGCATAAACTGACTATTAATATAACCCTCAACCACTACTGGCTTCAGGCCTTGTACAGGGTAAACCTTACTGTAAAAAAATATAAATAAAATAAAAAAGGAAGACATTTCCATACTCAACTCGTAGAATTATCAGAAATCTTAAATACAGTTTGCTTTTTTTAATCATCCTACCGCCAGGCAAGGTGAGAATGACACTAAAATGCAATGGGTTATTGCGAGTAGAAGAGAATGAGAAAACTTTTGTGAAATGAAATGGCTATAAAAGGACAAAGTTCAGGAAGACAGACGATTGGAATTGACGTTGCATTTAGAGAAGCACGAATCCGGAAGAGAGTTCCACGGGTGATAATGCGAGAAAAGAAACTATTAGAATAGAACTTGTGACATTTACCAAATTAAACAGTAAAACGACGAGACCTAATTACCAATCTAGTAGAATGCTTAAATTCATGCGGTCCGAGGAACTCTCATTAGGACACTTGTAATGAAAATATTTATAGAAAAGACAGAAAAAAGTCACATAACGGCTGTCGAAAGCGATTGAAATCGAGATGCCAGATTAAGACCGATTGCAGACACTTCTTTGGATTTTATCGAGAAGCTCTAAATGCATATAGACTTCTATCATACAGACTTTATGATTTATCTAAGTTTCTCCATACAGAGTACATTTTCACACTTCTATCTAAGCGCAAAGTTAATCTAGTCAACGGTTTATGTCTCTGCAGATAGCTGCTTGCAAGTGTTGTTATGTCCGTGTACAAGTCCTTACTTGCGTACATGCTTATGAGCGTGCGTGGACGTGAGTACGCGTGGATATAGAATATCCTTTTTTCCACGTGCGTGTGTTGCCAATACTGTCGGTGTCAGTTAACAACGGAGGAAGGTTTGGATTTCGCCCGTTCTTCACATCCGTGAGAACAAATTTATTTATTTGCGAGAGTACCCTGAGAAACACTCGGCCATTTCTAAGTCTGTCAATTTGGGGACGTAAACCCATAAACCTGACTTTTGCTAGCAAATACATTTCCGCTTTTTCTTACACTTATTTCAATCTTTAATCTATGTTTCGAGGATTACACAAATGCATTTGATAATTTCTGTCCGAATTACTCAGATGAGGAGTTATCATTATTTACATTATTTATAACAAACAAAATGTTCTTACCAACTAGAAGAATTTAGAAAATTTTGCTAAGGACATTTTGCTTGTTTTTAATAGTTACTTTGTTTTTAATAAATTCATTTCGTTTTTGCCTTGAAAAAGTCCACATTTGTCACGGTTTGTCTCACATTTTAGAATCTGTACTTGTTTTAATCAACCTTCTAAAGTTCATTCCTAATACTGTATTTAAGACGCTTACATAACAAATGAATGATAGCGAATTCAAGGCTTTTATGTCAGGCGAAGATAAGCATAATATCGATCATTGTAAATCATATTCTCTCGTTCTTTTTCATGTTCACTATCGCTCTCGATGTCACATCTTTCATGTCACATCTCTATCGCTTTCTCTTTCACTGTAACTTACTCTTTCTACGTCAGTTCGCACGCACACATATGTATGTGTGTATATCTATATATATATATATATATATATATATATATATATATATAAACACACACACATAAATATATATAAAGACATTTTTATGTTTAACATTCTTTTTTTTTTTTTTATAGATACAAAAATTTAAGTAAATGCTCTGTTTTATAATAAACAGTATTAAATAACATTTACCGGCCTGAATGTCCGAGAAAAAAATAGAAAATATTCGTCTTTTGACAGGATTCGAACCTGCATCCTATACGGAACCGTCATTTATCTATATAGGTCGAATGTGTTCTTTCCCTTACTTTGTTTCTCTTTTTCTCCGTCTCTTTCTTTCTATATCCTTGGACTCTTTCTGTCTATATATCTCCTCCTTTTGTCTCTGTCTATCTCTCTCTCTCTCTTTCTTTTCTGTATCTTCTTCTCTCTCTGTCACTTTCTCTATTTGTCATGTTCTCTCTCACTATCACTTTCTTTTCCCTTTTCATTCTCTCTCTCTCTCTCTCTCTCTTTCACATTTTGTCTCTTTTCTCTGTTTCTTCCTCTCTCGCTCTCACTCTTTCGCTGTATGTTTCTGTCTTTTCCCCCGTTTCTTTCACCCTCTTTTCCGTCTCTTTCTTTCTTCTATCTATCTATCTATCTATCTATCTACACCTGTCTACAGTTCAGCACGAGTTTCTGTCAGCATTTAGCACGGCATAAGTGGTTTTATGACACTTTTATTTGCTTCCTAAAATTTGGCCTCGTACTTGACTAACAGACGGATTAATGAATGATTTGCCTCTTCAATGTGTAATCATTTTTTGAACTTGCTTTTAAAAACACGGTTAGTTTTCTTTAGAAAGGAAACTTTATGAAAAACAAACTTGCATCAGAACCAAACAGGCAACAGTCTCGGAAGTGATGAGGATGGAGACATACTCGCGTGATTTTAATTTTAATTAATCTACTAATAAATCAGTTCTTCTAGAAATTGCTCATTAGTTCCACTCGGGGGAATATCATGGACGGAACACGTGAGCAACAGTGATGGCGAATTTATACCTCCATTCATATTCACACAGGGCCTCAGACTCAACATGGAGGCCTACATCAAGTGCCTTAAGGAGGTAGTGCTTCCCTGGGTCAAGAGGATGGCTGCTGGATAACACTGTGTCTGATAACAGGACTCTGCACTATGATATACACAAGCAGGAGACCCAGTCATAGCTGTCAGACAATTTCTGCGACCACATCACCCCTTACATCCGACCACCTAACTCTCCAGACTGCAACATCCCTTGATTATTATGTGTGGGAAGCAGTTGAGCTAGAGACCAACAAAATTACTTGTAACACCAAAGATGAATTGAAGGCAAGGAATATGACAGCATTCACCAACTTAAGCAAGGAGACCGTCCAGAAGAATTGCAGGATATTCCGAAGTTGTCTGGAGGCTGTGGTTGAAGCTAATGGCGATGTTATTGAATAAATTTACTCTTTAGTATTTTAAGATATTATTGTGTAATTTGACTAAATATATATGTCAAAATGAGATGTCAGTGTTGTTTTCATTTTTGCGTCATTTAGACGACAATTTATCCATCGCACTCTGCAATGAGAAAAATGAGCTTAAGGAATTTGACACTCACAAGACACACTGAGAAAAACTGCGAGTGGCCTACATAGCAAGTTTGTGTAAATGGATAACAGAATAGAGATTGGCAGGGATGATGGGGAGGAGAAATATTACTTCGAAGTTACGGAGAACAATAACCCCCACATTCTGAAGGAAGACAGCACATAAAAGACGATTGAAAAAAGAGGTATTAATTGAATACTAAAATCTCTCTCTCTCTCTCTCTCTCTCACTCTCTGCATTTCCCTTCAGAGTGTGAACAATTATGTTTCTGCATAAATTTTCATCTTTCTTTCTTGCTTGCTTGCTTTCGTTTGCTTTACAGATGATTTGACCCGATTCAACTTCCGACAAAAAATTTATCAACATTTTGTTTTCTCAGTGTGTTAAGCCACACTTAATTCAAAAAAAATTAGATCACAATCACAGATTGATTTCGTACAGAAAAGAAACTGTTTTTTTTTTCTTTTGTGACAATTTCTTTGTACTTTCTTTACTTACGGTCACATCACGTTCAAGCACCCGTCCCCATACGTTCACCGAAGTTAAGCAATGTCGAACCTGGTCATTACTTCGACGGATGACCGCTTGGGAATATCAGCTACTTTAAACTTCGTTGTGCGAGTAGTGCAATGGATAATGGCTCGAAATCAGAGATCCGAGTTCCAATTTCCGTTGGAGTCGTTATGTTCACTAACCCACAAATACTCTTGGGTAAGCTATAAATCCATCTCTTCTCACCCCAGCTATGGGTTCTTGTATCACTAAACCATTATTATCTCAAATAAAATTTTTACAATCTAAAAATATTCCGGTGGAATTAATTGAATCGATGTTCGACAAGTTTTTACTAAGTAGAAAAACACGAACGGATAACAAAAACGACACCAAAAGATCGGCGATAACTGTTCTTTGGGGCATATAAGAATGGACAGGAAACATGAGGAGACGGTATCAAGAATCAGGAAGTTGATTTACATGGTAAAACGGAAAATATTTGAACATAAAAGGCACCATAATCAGCTGGAAACAGTTAATCGATGAAAGGCCTGAAACATTAGAAGAACCGATAGAAATGTTATGTGATGTTTTCGATGTGCCAGCACCACAAAAATTCTTGGAACCTACAGGGACAAGTTCCCAAAAAAAAAAAGAAAAAAAAGTATAATGAAGAACTGGAAATGGATCCGAGACGGAAATGCTATAATGTCAAGTATGTTGGCGAACTCTCCAGAAAGAGGAGAGATACTAATACTAATAAAAAATAAAATATTTATAAAAAGTATTAATCTCAAGAGGGGATTTTGTGGAGTAAATAGTACACCCATGGTGACTATATGAAATAGTCCATAACTATAAAGAACTACAGGTTAGCGGTAAGAACTGAAGGCGTTTGGAGGTAGACAGTTTGCTGTCAAGTTCGCGACAGGCTTGTCGATCTCTTTACCTTCGGGCAGAAAGAAACCCAGACGAGGCTATTAATACGGGCAGAGTCTCGTCTAGGGAGGTAGACAAACCGGACCTCGTGTACGCGGAGTCTAAGGGAAATGTTTGCCCGAGCCTATGAGCTCGGAAATCTTCCCCACATAAAAACCGGCCTTGTGCCCAATCCCGCCTTGTGGGGAGGTATATATATATATGAATGAACAAATTTAGAAGTGAAGTAGACAGTTTGATGTTTGGTTGCCTATGATGTCAAGTTGTCTCATTTATACGACAATATATTGTTGAAATAACATTTCAATGAAAAGCGACGACAAGACATCTCAAAATATTGCAGTTTTAGATTGATGAAAGTTCAATTTTTAAGCCTTTTTCTTTTCGAGTTACGTGTCTTTGCATTTTATTTGTTGCTCTTGTCGAAAGTCATCAAAGGATGACGATTCTGATATTTAGTAAAGATTTTCGTTTGTGATACCGTAGCCCACCTTCTTGAGTCCCGACTAAAGATGGTCCTCACAAAGACCTACAGTCCTTACTCGCTCAAAGCCAACTTTAACCTGAGAAAACGGTCGTATACAGATGGCATTTATTTCTGAACCTGTTTGGAAGTATCCCTGCATCCATCTGAATGTCACGATCTGACCAGGCTATTTAAGAACATGATTTGAGGTTTTTACGTTATTTTTTGGTTTTTGTTTTATTTTGATGTTGACCTCAAAATTAATCGTTGTTTCATTTCTACCAGTACTGTATGAGCTGGTTACAATATTTTCAAAACTAAGGAATCGCTAAGAGAGTCTCAGTTATCAAGTCTTTCCTGTCAAATTGGTCTGCGAAGGTCGTCGTTAATGGACAGTCCTCGGAGGCACTTGAGATCAATATTAGTCTTCCCGAAGGCTGTTTACTCGGTTCATAGCTTCTTTCTCTTTTATATCAACTATCTGCCCAGTACCTTTCCTAGATCTTTAGTAAATAGACATACAGATGATACTACAGTGCAGTTTGATGACCAGTGTCTGGAAACTGATATTTCTCCTCAACTGACTCTCACCGCACCATAGGGAAAAGATTAGCTGATGTTATTAAATACATTCATACTAAGCCCGAAAACATTACATTACCACTGAGCAAATCCAGAACATGCAACAATCTGGATGAGTGCCCATAGCCTCGGAAGCCTTCTGGATCTAAAGTTTCTCCAGGCCTCAAACAGAATGTATATATTTATGCCATTGCAAAAAATATTAAACAAGAATTTCAATTCATTTTATCGCTCGAGACAATACCTAAATCCTGATGTTATTTATATCTATAATTCTCATAATGTGTGTGTGTGTGTGTCATACTTATTATAAAAACCAGGTTGTGTGTGTGTGTGTGTGTGTGTGTCTGTTCATTTATATATTGATCGGATTTCCTACATTTTCAACCGATTTCAACAAAACTTCACAGGACTACGTAAAATTACCTTGCGGTGGTTCTGACAGCGCCAAAAATTGGAAAAACACAATTGTTTTTGCACAAAATCAATTTGAAAACACGATTAAGAGGCATCGCTGTCGCGAGAATGAAAGGGGGACAACTCATATCGAGTTATACTTATTATAAAACCCAGGTTGTTTGTTTGTTGTGTGTGTGTGTGTGTGTGTGTGTGTGTGTGTGTGTGTGTGTTTTTATATGGGATCGGATTTCCTACATTTTTCAACCGATTTCAACAAAACTTCACTTTTTTTTTGGCAGGTAGTGTTTCTTATTGTCTTGCACACTTTTTTCTTTATTTTTACATTCAGAATGCTTTAAAAATTCCATTTACAAGACAATTGTTTATAATAAAATTCTATTCAATCGGTAGACTCATAACGATTGAAAACAATGTTTTTGTTTGAGTTTGGGTTTGACCAATTCGTAAAAAAAAAAAAAAAAAAAAAAAAAAAAAAAAAAAAAAAATAATTAAGACATGCGTGTCCGTCAACCTTAAACAATAATCTTTGTCAATTTTATTTTCAGTCTTTATGATGGTCGATACTTGATCTATCTCTTACTGTTACATCCCCGGCAACGCCAGGCTCTACTGCTAGTCTTTATAAAAAAATTTCATAAAATAAATATTTAAATTATTACAATAATATTATTTATTATTATATTTTATTCTTTTTTCAAGAATTTAAATCCCCCCCTGTTCAAATTGTTACCCTCCCATTTGGGGATGTGCCTCAGGTGAATCAAATTCTTGTTACTAATATTGATTTTTCTTAAAATTTTCTTGAAATTTAAACTTAAAATACTGCTCCATTTTGAACGGTTTTATTCCATATTAATAAGAAAGATAATAATTTTTTAAAAGACGGGTTATACTATTATCAATTATATATTTTTTAAATTTAGATCTAACCAAAAATTTTATTATAATTCACCAAAAAGTAAGTCCTGCCAGCCTTGAAAGATCATCAACCGATATCCTAGTTTTTACCTGACAAATTAAAAATGTTTCGCCAATGAAACAATTGTTAACATTTAAATTATTTATGAGGTTTATAGATTTTTTGAAATTGAAAACACCAGCTCCTGTACGATCACCGAAGTAACGCAACGTCGATCCTGATCAGTAACTTGATAGATGAGCGTTTGGGAATACTTAGTGCTGTAAACTTGGATATTCGATTGGTTTAAGGGATAATGGCTGGGAATTGTTAATCGGTGAGCCGAATTACAATTCCGGTTGAGTTCATTATATTCGCTTACGCGTAAATACCATTGGGAAAGATATGAATCTATCTCTTCTCCTCCCAGCTATGGGTTAATTAGTAAGATTATTATCCCCGCCCCCCAAATTCTTATAATCTAAAAATATTTTCTGGCTTTAGATAATCTGCAAAGTTTAGATAAGTCGGAGTAAACAATTCACTCAATCAATGTTTCTTATTTTCTGTTTACCTCACTTTTTATTTTTAATGATTCCCTAAATCTCCTTTCTCGCTACAAATCATTTTTCTGTTTCATTCCTTTTCCATTTCCTTTTCTCTCTAAAGAAAGATTTATTTTTCCCAACCTTATTTCTCCAAAATATCTTTTTTTTCCTTTTTTCTCCAAATACTTTTCTCTCTTTTTCATTTTCATTTTCCCTTTCCCATTCCCTATTCCATGTTTTCTCTCAAAAATAAAATTTTTTTTTCTTACATTCCTTATTTTTTTTAATTTCCTTTTAACCCCAGAAATAATATTTTTTTTTTTCTTTTTTTTCAAAATTCATTTTTCTTTTTTCTTTCTAATCAGTTTCTTATTCTTTCCCCTTCTCATTACCAATTTCTCCTTTCGATAATATTCTCCATATGTATTTTGATTTTCTTTCTTCTCCTTTTTCTTTTTCACCTTTTTTCTTTAATGCCAAATACTTTTTTTTAAATTTAATTTTCATTTTTTATATTAATTTAATTTGATAGATCAACAGGTAAAAATGAATATATGGCAAAAAGATCTGGTTGCTTTTTTTCTAATAATATTGAACATTTGACGATTTATAATCATTTGCAAAAATTAAATTTTAGCTTTTGAAAGAAAATTTGAGTTAAAAAAATTTTCTTGAAATGTTTTTTCAATTTATAATTTTAAAAATTCTTCTTAAATATATGAAGCCTGTTTCAAAAATTTTTTATTTCTAGCTATCAATCTTTTCAAAATTAAATTGATCTTAAGTCTTTTTGAAGAATTTATTTTCTACAAGAGACTTTTTTAATAAACCAATTGATTCTCTTTATTCTAATTCAAACTGGACTGAAAAAATATATTTTTTTGCAACTAAAGAACAGAAAATATCCACTTGTGGTCATAAAAACTATTCTTGGTGAATTATTTTTTCATGCCAAAACTGCTAAAATGCATTTAAAAAAAACTGCATTAAGGGATAACGCAAATTAAGAATTTGATACCATGTTTTTTTTCTTCTCATGATAACACTGTTTAAAATAAAAATTTTCCATAAAATTTGGCATAAACCATATTATTTCAGGAATAATTGTGTTTTTTAACATAATGTTATTCAAAAGGCCAAAATTCCATTTATATTTTCAAATTGGTTTAAAATCCAAATCATGGGATATTTTTGTTCTATAAAACGTGCTTCTTTTTTGGTATATTTATTTATTTTTTAAGCTTGATTGT